TGGTTAGATTAAAAGCCATTTTGTTTGCGTTGCGGCTAACCAAGTTGTTAATATGCACAATCATTTACTCGAGACGTTTGAAGTGGAAGACAATGGCGTTTTGTTGGTCAATATTTGAGCAAGGCAAACTTCTGGCAGCCACTGTAGTTAGCCATGCTGCACACATACATTGGAAACGCATTAAAATTAATTGCAAATTTTGTGCAACTCTCTCGCTTCCTCTCTCTCTCTCTCTGTCTCCATTTCTGTCTCTCTTTCAGTCATATTTGCATTCATAGTTTTCAGTAATTGTAATCCACTGGCCAATAATGTTAATTGCATTTTCATGCTCAATTTTACACACAGTTTGAAATTAAATTGTAAAATTTTATTGAGCGTAGGCACAGCTATAATTATAAATACATAGATAATTGTAATATGCTTTGCATTGTTTAATCAGTTATGCACAACGATTTAAACTGTCTGCGTGAGTGTGCGAATCTTTGATTGAGTCATTAAAAGAATTTGTGGGCTTGCACAGCTCTGAGCCGACAAAGTATTTAGTACAAATTTGTAGCTAAAGCCAAATTCAATTATATTTTGAAAGAGAGAGTCTGTAGAGAGAAAGGGATAGGTTTAGATATGTAGCAGAAACTCTACAGCATATTGGCAATGCAACTTTATGCAAGCTGTAACTGAGGCAAGCTAGCTTTAAATAGATATAATATATACATGTATATATATATATATATCTAAGGCAGAACAGCTTATATTATTTCAAGCTTTCAGTCAGCAATTTAAATAGTTTTTGGCAAACGAAGCCTGGCAATTAAACACTCAGCATTTAACGCCTAACACTTGCATGTGGGTAAATTTACTGTTGACAACTTTAAAATTGGCTTCAGACGCCGCCATTTTGAGCTAAGCCAGTGAAACGCGAACTCCGCCTGAATTTACGGCCTTGGCTGGCCGGGATTAGGCTCTTGAGTTATGTGTGGAAATAGAGGCGTGCACTCATACACACTCCCACACACACACAGACACATATGAGAGTTTATAGCAGAAATAGAACTGTCTGCCTGTCTGTCTGTGAGCCGGTTTAAGCTAGTCTATGGCAGTGACTAGCTAGCTGGGTGCCCCTGTTATTTTTCTGTTTTTTTTGGTGGGGCTTAACATTTATTTGAAAGTTATTAGCACATTTTTTCCAATTCTTGTTTTTTTTTGTGTTTTCTGCGTTGGCGTTTGCGCGAGCTCTTTTCGCTCTCTCTTTTTGGCTTGGTTAGCTGACTTTCATTGAGAAAATGTCGGCGTTTCCGGTATTTTCATTTCCTATGTGTTCAGTTGACGCTGACGCTGCTGCTGCCGCTGCCACTGTTGACGTCGACGTCGACATCGACGTCCGTCGCTTTTGAAAATGAGATTCTTGGCACCAATTCAACACTAAATTGATTTTGAACAATAGAGTAGCGTTTGCCCGGGCTAGCGAACGGCGACTCCGACCATTTTGCTATCTTTGGCAATTTATCTCGCCATGATTTTCGACTATTTGGTCGACGAGCGACGTTTCCGCTTTTTCTATATGCACTTCGCATAGCAACGCGCTCACACCGCCCACTTAACAAACAAAAACAAAAACAACAACAACAGAAGCAGCAGCAGCAAACATTGTGTAAAGTCTATTTAAATTGATAAAACGAACTTTGCATGCACTAGGCGAAAATATCTAATTGATTATGTTTTAAAAAATATCTGTTTGAAATGCCGATAAATTTGACATAGAGATAGAGTTGAGTTAGTTATATTAGAAATATATGAAAGATTTATTTATTGTGGGAAACAATAATATTGTTTGAGCCCAGCCTGCCTTATAGTTGTTAAGGGACTTTCTTGAAGAAATTATAAGTATTTAAGCCATTTGATGGCACATATTAAGAAAATAAAAAAACTGAATGCAAATTCAGATACACTTCTAAAATAGCTATATTCCTATTATAGCGCATATGCCTTCAATCAAGTGTTGCTTGCAATTAAAGCTGCAAATAACAGCCATCAAATTCAATTTGAAGCGTGTTGCCAAACGCCCAACGATGCAAATTTATATGTGTCGAGGCCGAGGGATTGCACAGGGCGCGCTGCTGCTGCTGCTGCTTCGTCTGGCTCTGAGCCTGCGCTTGTGCCGGTGCCCTGTGTCTGTGCCTGGGTTTGGGTGCTATCATAATTTTTCCGCTGCTTGCACACACAAAGCCATTTTTAGTTTGTGCCGCTGACGCCGCCGCCGACATAATCAATAGTTGTGACTTCCTTTAATGGTTTTCCGGTGATTCAGCACTTCCGTATGCTCGTAGAGCGTCGCTTCAGTTGCCTTCGTTGCCGCCGCTCCCCTCTTCCTGCCAGCGCTATTATTTTATTTTGCAAATTTCGCCTCTTTTGTCACTTGTTGGACCTGCTTGGCTGCTCGGCTGCTCGCAAGCATTTGCACTTTAATTTTGTGAAACTTACCAGCAAATTTATGATCGCACTTATTACGTTTTTTGCCAGAATAAAAATGAGAAATGGCTTATCACAGATTTCGGCGTTTTTTTTCTTTTTTATTTCAAATGGTGTTAAAATCTAACAATATTTTTGTGGCTGCAGTTAGTCCGTGTTATGTATTTTAAGATAGCAGCAGCAAATGCCACAAATTGCCATCAGGAAAGGTTTTATAACATTTTTTTCACGCCCCGTAGATTTTTGTCAATTTAGTTTTTATTTTCTTAGTTTTTCATGTGTGTATAGAGAGATGTATATGTGTGTGTTCTGGTGTAGATTACGTGTATGTGTCAATGCGGGATTTATTTTGAGCATAGATGCGCTGCAGTAAAGGGCTGCTTCTGCAGGGTAGATTAGTTCAAAGATCTGCTTTGCAACTTAATGAAAAGGATTGGAATTTAGGCTTAACTGATAAGATAATCAAATTTATGCTTATATTTAATATATTTCTCGTCTTCATTAATGGAATATTTTAGTTAATATATATAACATTTTGATATGCAGCGCAGCACATATTTTCAGCTGAACTGAAATGAAAATTTAATATCGCATATTTTTGCCTAAAAATGTTTTTATGCCTGGCCTTTTTATATATTTCATATGCTTTTTACGTCTGTTTGGGCCGTTGTTATAAACTAAAACACATGTTACGTGTTGTGTTTGTCGGTTGGCCAGCAACAAAAATAAAAACAAAAGCAAGAAAAATGGGGCATAAAAACTGTGGGAAAATATGTGCAAAAATTTGACCATTATCATATGCCGGAGCGAGCATCAGAAGCCATAGGCACATCAGTTAGTTATGGCTGCGGCTAGGATTTCAGTTCATGTGGCGTTACATTTAATTTTTCCTGCACATGGCCATTAATCAATGTAGAGCCCAGGCCAACAGCTACAAAAAGGCAGAAAGCAAAGCTTTAGATGTAATAAAAAATATATATGTATATATTTAAGTCTAATTTTGTTATATTTTTTACTTTCTTTCTGTGCATTCTCCGACACAATGGCAGTTCGTTAGCAAATTTTAGATTTTTCAGATTAGTTTTAATTTTTTTTCGGTGTGCTCAACTTTTATGTTAACACTTGAGGTCACATGTTGTGGCCAGCGCTTGCCCTGTTGGCCCAACTTAATGCATTTTAATTAAGAGTCAAGTCGAGTTGCTGCTGCTGCAGCGCCAAACTTTATGCTTTTGAATTTTTGCATAATTTCTCGCTGCGCGCTCCAAAAAGTTACGTATGCACGCCCCTGCCCAAAATAGAAGAAGAAGCAGAGCTTGGGTAATAAAATGTAAAATACATACAATTGTGCACAGTAGAACGAAATTTGAATGCTCTAGCGTAAAAGCTGAACGTGAATGTATTGAAGATAATTTATTTAACTAGAAATATTGTTAGAAATTTTAAAGAAAAAACTGTCTTTAGGCCTAGTTTACCCGCACAGTAAAGAACTTTTGCCAGAAAGAGTATTTGATTGGAGATAAAAAAGCGCAGTGCGGCGCATTGGGCAACACCTTTTCGGCGGTTCAGTCTGTGCTGGTTGGTGGTTCGTGGTCAGGCGTTGCTGCGAATTCATTAAGGAATTCAATTTAAATGCACATTTTACATTTTGCGCGGACAACGCGGCGTATGAGCAACGCGTTGACTCTGTCACTTGGATGCCAACGTTGATGCCTTCTATATATATATATATATATATATATATATATATATATATATATGTATATATATATTTAAAAATCTGCTGTTATTAATATTCATGAAAGTTGAAAAGTTTTTCGGTTATTTATTTAATGTGCCAACCCTCGACCGGGGACGCCACCAGCTTCACGTTCCCCAAAGCTGAAAGAACAAGTCAGCATGGTGTCTGGAGCAGCAGTGTGTGCATAAATTTTTATCATCACGTGCGAATTTTTATAAATAATGCAGGTAATTGACATTAACCTCAGGCACACTCCCACACACAGACACACATATATTTAAGTAGAGTAAAAAGTTTAAATCGAATTCAATTTAAGTTTAAAATCAAATACGTTGTTGTTGCTGTTGCTGTTGTTGTTGTTGCTTTTTAATGGTTCAGATTTTGGTCTACGAGCATCTCATTTACTGAACGACATTAAATTGTGATTTGAACGCGTTTTATTTATGCATTGCCTTGTTGTTTTCATGCGGTCTCTGGGGCGTGTTCAAAAATGACAGCGGAATTCGAAATATTCATTGCTTTGGGGAATTTCGCCCGCCTTTTGCGCTCAGTTTGTTCCGCTTCTGTTTGACTTTTCTATCGTTTAGGCAGAAAAAGAATCCCCAAAGAAATAGCTGCTTTGGAATTCCACTGCTTATATTATAGCCGTAGACATCAAATAGAGTTTTGCTCTAGCTGATATGTGGGCTGGCAAATAGGATGGCTTTAAGCTATGAGCTGGAGTGGGCATATCGCCTTTAGGCATATCTTGATGACTATTTCTTAGTCTCAGTAAGCTTTGCCTAAGCTGCTGATACATTACCTTAAACATTTTCTTCTGCTCTAGCTGATATGGGAGCTTGCTTATAAGATTGCTTAAAGGTATATGCTGGAGTGGACATGTGACTTTAAGGCAGCTGGTTAACTTGTGATAATTTAGCTGAAGATCTTACGAACCTTGAGGACTTGTAGCATATATCTGTCTCATTAAGCTGTTGCCTTAAACCTATTCCTGCTATCAAGATTATCAAGATTATGAAGATCATTAACTTTCGACGCGAGCTCTGCTTGTTCATAACATTCGTATTATGTACGCTGGTAACATTCGTGTGGTTTGACCAGTACTATAAGCGACCGGTTGTCCGGCCTTTCAACCAAAAAATGCCTATGACAATTGCGAAATATGCCACGCAGTTGTCGAACCGCACGAATGTTATTCGGTTTATGACCAAGCCATCAAATTATGCGAAGCCGGTGCCTGAAGCACGAAGAACACCGAATTGGAAGCGCATACTGGAAAAGCCGAGTCTTACTCTTGGATTCAGCTACAGCAATGGCCGAAAGAATGTGCAGTATGTGATGGGTGTGCCCACGGTGCATCGAAAAGCCGAGAAGTATCTGGAGCTAACGCTGACGAAGCTGATCACCTACTTGACAGACTTTCAGCGTAGCAACTGCTTGATCGTAATCTACATTGGCGAGTCGGAAGTGGCTCTTGTGCAGTCGATTTGGCAAGAGATAAGTGCTAAATTTGGCCAGTATTTAGATGATGGTCTGATTGATGTCATCTCGCCGCCAGCTAATTACTATCCCGATTTTAAGTCGCTCTCTGTCACGCTGCATGACGATCCGCTGCGTGTGCACTGGCGCACTAAACAGACTCTGGACTACATGTACCTGATGACCTATGCCAGCAGTCGGGGCAGCTACTATCTACAGCTGGAGGATGATCTTGAGCCGGCTGCGGGCTATTTAAACTATATCATTATGATGTCTGCAATGCAAAGTAACTTTCGTTTGACGGCGGGTCGACCTTGGATTGTTATGAGTTTCAGCGATTTGGGTTTTATTGGCAAGATGTTCCAGACGGCGGAGATCAAGCCGTTTTTATCGCATGTGAAGAACTTCTACAACGATCAGCCTATTGACTGGCTGCTGCAGTCGTATGTGAAGCTAAGATGCTGCCGCTGGGATAGCATAAATACGTCGGACTGCGATGAAGAGTATTCATTGTACAATATACTTGCGCCACAATCTCAGTTTCAGCACATTGGCATCAAGTCCTCGCTGCGTGACAAGGAGCAAAAGCTGCTGGACAAACATTTCAAAAAGAATTCTGGCCGCTTGCGCATGGATCATTTGCGCCAGCCGTTCAATTGCATCAATGCTCACAAGAGCATGCTGCTACAGGACAGAATGTATTTAAAGGACGGCGAAACCTTCTTCTGGATCTATATGCCGCATATGACTTCGTTGATGCAATACCTGATTCAACACGAATACGATTCCGGCCAGATTCGAATTCGCAGCGGGGCTAACAATACGGACAAGTTCACAGACCTGACTGTCGACATAGTGGATAAGAATCGGGAGTTCAATAGGAACAGTTCTGACACGGAACGTTGCGGTTTCATCATGAGTTACACGCATCAGATGGACCTGACGCCACCGTTTTTCCTGTTCTTCCTGATGAAGGAAAACGATGTGACCAAAAATGAAACCTTTTGGTTTAGACGCTTCAATTGGAGCAAAGCAGGATCTGCTCTCACTGTGCATTGGGGAGCCAACATATTAATCTTGCTAAACATTTTACTTTAAAGATCAAATCTAAACTTAATTGCGATTAAGAAATTCATATATTTCGTATACTTTTCTCTCTCTCATTAGTAATCAATTTCTTTTAGAATTCTCAGTCTGTTCTTTATGTGAAAAAAAGCTTGAAATATTGCAGAATTTGCCTAGCACTCGCTGTCAGTCAGTAAAAATGGACTTGTCCTTAGTCGCCTCGTTTGCTTTGTTTCGCAATAAAACCGAAGGGGTATTTTTTTGCCATGACATTTCGATATGGCAAACAAAAATGGAAAATAGCTTGAGATATTGCACACAATCAATATTAAAGATAACAAAGCAAATGTTAAACTTTCGGGGGCAACAAAACAAATACAACATTATTACGAGCCAAAGCCAAAGACTGACTGGCAATGCGTTGGCTGTTGGCTCTTCAAGTGCAGGCGACTAAAATAAGACGAGAAAAAGTTGCCTGAATTTCCATCAACTGAGCCAGCAAAGCATAAAAAATCGATGAAGCATGACAACAGTGCGAAGAAATCACTAAAAAGAAAAACTCTGCCAAAGCTAAAGAAAAAACAGCAGCAGAGGCTGAAGCAGAAGCAGCAGCTGAAGCTGAGCCAAGGCGAGCCTTGAATAAGAAATCATTTTCACTAATGATGCTGGCTAAGTGAAGAGGAAGCTGAACAAAACGTCATTGAGATTGTACCAAAGATGATGGTTAACCATGAGAGCTATGAATATGCCAATGTTGATGATGATGTTGCGCCTGGCTTTAAACTTTACCTACATGTCGCTGGCGGCCTTTGACAATTTCCTGCTGCTGCTGACAATGATGTAGCTATCCAATTTTTGCTGTTGCTGCTGGGCCTCTTGCTTTTAAGTGCTCGAGTGGGCGTGGCACAAATAAATTTGTTACACGAAACAATGCAATCAATCAAAATAACTAACACACACATACACACACACGCACCGCTCAGCTAGGGGCTGCACTTTGTCGCTGTCTCTGACAAACCAAAAAAAAAAAAAACAAAAAAAAAATGGAGGCGAAGATCCCACAAGCGGAACGACAAAAAGCTGAAAACGCTGCGCTCAACAAAACAAACAGCTGATGGATGGGCCCCAACAATTTTCACTAGGTCCAAGGACATTTTGCTTGCTCTTTGCTTTTTTTTGGTCATTTCATGCTGGCCCTTTGCCAGCTAGCGGCCAGCTTCCAAAATGGGTCACAGCTAGCGCTGGGCCAATCGACGACAATTACTAGAGCTGTTAGTTAGCGACATTCGGGAGACACTTGGTAAATATTTATGCATATTCATTCATAGCCTTCATAAGCCGCGGGCAGAGATTCAGCAAGGCTATTTTTCGCTCTGGTCTGCAATCAATTTGTCTGTCTGTATACCCTTTAAAGGGAGCGAAGGAGAGTCTTCTCTATCTTAGGAGCACTATATTCAGCTTCTGCACACTCAAGATTTTAGTTAGGGCATTCAGTGTTCGCCTTGCCTTAGCTAATTGTCTTTACTTCCTGTTTCCCATTGCCCTTTTTCGCTTTTACTTCTGCTCGCCTTTCGTCTCGTGTCTGCTGCATACGAATTGACTTATATTTAAATAAAATTAGTTACATAAACAATAATTGACTTCAATTGGCTTTTGTGTTTGCATAAAATTCAATTTTCATTTCCGCCATCGACTGTGAATGCCATCACAATGGATGGCCCTCCAGGCGAGGCGAGCCAAGGCGAGGCTACGCTTGGGGCCCACTGTCTGGGCTCGTTATTTGTGGGGTCAACTAGTGGTGCATGGTGTCGTATGAGTAATGTGGCTTAGAATTGAACTTAAATGCAATTGCTTTAGATTTGAAGCGTAACGATTGAGTGGGATGTTTTGAAATGAAATTTCAAAGGAAGTTCTTTATTAAACTAGTCGAAAGTTTATTCAAAAATTAGATATGCCTAATTCACCTCAGTTATACACTCGCAATGCATTCCAGTACTTTACACTTCATTACCTGATAATTTAAACGGGTTTCTGTTGTTGTTGTTGCGCTTGTTATTCTATTGGTCAATACTGTTGACATTTGGCAACTCTCATTAAAATACAACAATGCATTTATAATTAAAACTGCATAAATGTTTGCCCATAGACAAAGTCGTGAACGCACCGCACCGAGAGTAATGGCAGCGGGACAGTGCTTTTTTGCAGCCATTGTTTGGCTGTCCAGTAACAGCAAATAAAATGGCAACCGCTGTGGCGGCTTTTCAACTTAATTGTTGTAGTAATTGTTTTTATTGAAATGTGTCAAATGCAACGCGATGAAAATTAAATTTTGAATATTTTATTAACACGACGGCGGCGGCGGCGGTAACAGACAGCAGAAAAAAGACAGATATCTATCTATATATATATAGACTATACATATATAGGCAACATATATATGTGTATAAAAACAAAACAAAATGCAACGCATAAAAGAGTCACTCACCTGTCGTTGCGCTTGTCAGCCGACATATCACATTATTAAATGATGAGCATTAATATTTGCGCATTTCAAACTAAATATAAAAACAAGCAGAATTGGTCGCTCGAAGACTAGATACCTCTTGTATATAGACACGGGTGTTAAAGGAGAGGCACCCCATTTAAGCTGAGGTATTGAAGACTAATGTAGACTAAATACTACATACTACAAAGCTTATTTTTAGCTTTTAATCTTCGAGTTAATTTAGGTATCTGGCAGCTGTATGAGATATAGATATATACATAGATAGATAGATAGCTAGATAGATAGATAGATAGACCCAGAAATCCTAGCAGAGTTTATAGAATATAGAAGAGCTCTTACTGCTAAATATACTTAAAGCTACGTAGAGTCATTCTAGCAGCCTCCAGCTATAAGTTCTCTACTCGTCCCACCTCTATCCTACATCATTCAATATTCGCCTCTCTTTGCGATTTTCATTATAGCAAAAAATACACTTGTTCAGCTTAACTTTGCAATTGTCATTTTCATAACACAATCAATTCAACTTTTTTTCTGCACTGTCTCAACAAATGCATATTAATAATATGACGAAAAAAATGCAAATAAATTGTATTTTGTTATTATTTATTTGGCTTTGTTGTAATCGAATTATAAATAATAAATCTATAAAGCAGTTTGTTTGCTATTTCATTTTCTATGTGCCGGCCATGTTTGCCATGTTGGCCAACATTGTTTATTTATGCGCTGTGCCAGTCAACTTTGCGTGTCACAAAAATGTTCAAATATTTAAAAATGTATTTGTGCGCATCGCAGACAGCTGAGTGAGTGACTGAGTAAGGGTATTCAAGCGAGCGGAACTACTTTTGTTTGCACTTTAACATTAAAGCTGCCAGCTGAAAGTCTGAAGCTGCAAGTTCAATTCGTAACCGCGTGAGCAATAATAAAATGCACAACTTTATATCGCCGTGCTGCAATGGCAACAGGGAGTCAAGCAATAACAGCAGCAGCAACAACAGCAACAAGAATGAGTGCAACAATTGCTGCAAATAGTTGCTTGGCATTTTCTTACGAGTATTTTTTGAACATTTTGTCCATTCGCCTTGGCTCGTTTCGTTTGGCTTGGCTGTTTGCCGCACTTTCATTTCGCATGGTACGTGGCGCAGAAAACCGAACGAAAATTTCCAATTGTTGCAATTTTCAATTATTGTTTTGAAATTGATGTGTGCTTAAGGACGAGACATTCATGCTCGAGTTACCAGCGCACACACACACGCACACACTCGAGTCGAAGACTTGGCCGCAGTTGTTGTTTTGCGGCATGCGCGAAGAATATTTGCACAGCAATCGAAGTGTGTGTTGAACGTGTGTTGAGAGCGCTGGGGGCAGGGGCGCGTGCCAGGATGTTGCGAACAGCTTTTGGGGTGGCACAGGTCAAGTGAAACGATTTCAATGCCTCAATGAGAAATACATTTCAAACCTGCCTCCAGTTGGTATCAACCTTTAATATCTATATAAAATTAATGGCGGAAGTCGGCTGCAGTTGTGAAGGCGTCACGAGAGCCTTTGTCTGGTAAACTGTTTGGGGCACAGAAAGAGACAGAGAGAGAGAGAAAGAAGTAAAAACCCCATTTCATATATCATCATAATAGCATAATGAAATAAATTTAATTACACGTCAGGCAATCCACTCATCACTGCCACGCCCCCTCAAACTGAACTCAACTTTTACCCAGGCAAACACATGCAAAATACGAACACAAATAGACGTCTGCACAGATAGAGCTCGCCTGTGCCCGGGCAATGTTTATATGAATGCAACTACTTAGCCTTTAGTTTCAAGTGCGCGCAGCTCTCATCTAGCGTCTCCGTGCTCAGATTTTTGGACCATGGGCGAGAGGGCAGGGAGATGAGCAGGCAGTGTAGCCCCAATGGAAAGCGTGCACAGGTGCTCAAGCGAAAGCGCATACTGGCAGTTGGGTATATGTGAGTCTGTGTGTGCGTGTGTGGTGTATAAGTTCATTTAGTTTTGGTCGCTGCGCATGTGAGTGCACTTGAGCCAACGTTGGGCGCGTTCAGGTCCGGGTGCTACTCCGTGCACAGGTCCGTGTGCCAGGTCCAGCTACAGCCTCTAGCTTGAAGCCTTCAGTCTATAGACTGACTCAACGCTGACTGACTTGCCAACATAGTCGTTGAGCGTCGAGTAATTATGGAAATTTTCAAAATGAGCTCGCACTGCTTCAGTTTTTGAAAGTTGAGCGACGAGTAATTAAAAATTTCGTACTGTCGCCCAGTTGCCCAACATTTTCCACTCGTATTCCTAATGAAAGCCACCGAATTGCCTTCCTTATGTTTGTTATGCTCATGTTCTCTGAATGTGTGTGTGTGTGTGTGTTTGCATATATAAATTTTAATTAAATTCGTTTTTCTATTTGGCGGTAAATAGTCGTAGTACCTGCTACTTGCTACCACCACCAGCTAGTTCGTATAATTTTAATGAGAAGCTGGCAAACATTAAGCAATAAAGCATTATGCCCCACAAAAGTAGTGGCAGCAGCAAAAGTAC